GATGATGTTTGATTGCGTGTTTCACAAATGAACTAATGGTCTCGGAAATAATGTATTGAAAAATTCGAGGGGTGGCAGGCCAAGGCATACACGTGGCATACTCCTAACTAAAGGAAGTAGCAAGTTGCTCAGTTTCTTGGCGTCGGACACGTTGGTTGGATTTTTTTGTTTGGGAAAGGGGTGGGAGTGCATGGCTATTAGCTAAGCATGTGTTGTGTTGCTTTCCCTGGAAGACACCATCCAAACTTCTGGCCATAATATAAGACCGCTATTGTACCTATCGTGATCTCGACTGAGATTTTTCAGGTTAGGGATTAAAATAAACTTCAGTGATCTCTTACTTTATCAAGTCTTACTGGCTCGTTTTTAATACACGGTGCAGAATCTGCCTCAGATTATAACAAACAAACCGCTTGGTGGGTTATTCCGTTAGTCCATGTACTTTGTAACTAAACAAAATATTGGCCACCAGGTCAACAATTAAGTTTCCCGAAATGGACGCCTATTTATATCTTCTTTTCATATACAAAGGGGTGTCGCAGTGAGACTATAACATGGTGGTCCCGAATACCAAAATGCATTTGACATACGTGCCTTTCTCATATGGAGAAAGCCTGTAGCTGCTTTAGACACTCGTGTGCTTCGAAAGCTGTGTGGTGTTGCACAGCCTACTTATCTAATTATGTTCAACTGCCTCATACCCGTCGCAGATGCAAAGTTCCCTCACCATGTCCGCCTCCACGGTGCGCTTTCGATCCCGCACACCAGGACCGGAAGATCACCGCTCTTTGCGTTCCAGTACCCTCGGCAACAGCTCAGACTGTATCTACAGCCTTCTCGGGGACTCCCTATCTGGCCTGAATCTGCTGTCGCCGCAGTCACCTCACCGTCGATATCCCTACAATGACCGACTTGCCACTAATTGGTCCCATCTCAAAAATCAAATTCCCGGCGACCACCCGGATGCCGTCGACCTGCATGGACGAATGGGAGCATACCCTGGCAGTGAGTTCACAGCGCCTTACACTAAATTCCGTTCAAGCTGTTTAAGTAGTGAGTCAGTCGTAAGCACTGCAGTCTCCACAATTCCTGTCACTGAGCTTTTTAAAACTCGTTTGTCTGTTTTCATGTCGCTAATGTCTGTAAAAACTCCATCCAATAAACTCATGGTCATAAACACTTGACATCCGCTCTGTGCAAAGCACTCTGATAGCGCTGATAATTTCGTCCAGTTGGTCTTAAGTTTGGTGCTCCGCAGTCTCTGGCGTTGCGATTCATACATAGACGCTGGGAAGACAGAAGCGCTTCGAACTGTGTCCCTGGCCAGGAGAAAGCACTCCTCGGACTGTTAGTTTGAGGTGGACAGTTTTAAATACTTCGGACGACTCTCTTGTCGAAGAAATACAGAGTAAGGACGACACGGTCTCCTGAATTGGCGCTACTCGCAGGGTTTTCACACTCCTTAGGAAGTATCTATAGACCCGACATAGCACCAGCCTCACCACGAAGATCCATCCGTACTGGGCATATGTCCGGCCACTTCTCCTATACAGTTATGGATGCTCGGCTGTGTACATGGAAGATGAATAAAAACGGCGAGGCATTGACTACTTGTTATGTCCCGAGAGGTGTGCGGGAAAGGAGGAGAGACGGTTCGAGAAACAAGCACTTGGTGGGGATGGTGAACAACACAGTATTTTATTTTACGTAACTAATTAATTATTTATTTTTAGTTTAGTTTACTCAGTAGTTAATTATCTAGTTGTATTGGTTTTATTACTTCTATTAGCTTGTTATTTAGTATTTTTTAAGTTTTCGTCCCCTTGCTATGCCCCACCCATTTAACCCCTATTACCACCGGCCCCGTGTTACACAAACCGGCTTTTTGTTACTGCGGTGTTGTTGATAAGGAATTCTTACCCAGGCACTTTATCAGCGGTCTGTGGACATGAGGCTTTTATCTTATTTATTTGGTCCCATGGGCGTCCTGTATTATATTTGAGCCTATCGTGTACTAAAACGTGACGGGCGTCCCAAAAACGTCTGACCCATGGCCTGGTGGTCATGGACTGACCGTTTTGTGCGCAAGAATCCCTTGCAGGACAATATAGTTTATTTGATCCGCAGCATGTATGAGCAAAAGCATCATACGGTTGATATTGCTGCACACTTTAATTCACTGGGGAAACTAACATGCCGCGGACGGCTTGGTGTTTAGAGCAGTGCGGGGCTGCGTCGTCGTTTTTCTCCAGAGCGCACTGTTACTCGAGAACCACCCTTAGAGTAACGTGCATTGATCTTATCTCGCACTAGACATCCCACAATGACAGTGACTACATCGCGGGGATATTTCGGGCTACTCAGAAAAACTGACCGAACTGTTTTTAATTTGGTCTGACCACGACTTCGATATTGAAGGAGCGACTATCGTAGGCCGAGGAACTTCAAAAGCCGAAAGGCTGATGCTTGAGACATTTC